ATGGTATGAAGGATCAGCTTTGTTGACAGAGCAGCACTTTGCCTAGTGGGTCAGGGTGGCTTGAATTACGTGACCATGCTGCTTAACCTCATTCGCATCTCTGCATTCAACCATACCACTGCTACTTCTAGAGTGGTGACTGAGTCCGCTGCCTGGTTACGAGCGGTGTGTCAAGATTGTTATATGACGTGGCAAATATTTCACTAGCTAATAAAATCCTCCATACAGCATAAATCCTATGAGATGCATTGGTTCTTTCCCACCCCTCAGGGCCCATAGCATGTTACTGCTGCAGTAGCATCTTATTAGCCCCAGGCCTCGTTGCACTAGGTGCTGTATATGTGCAGCAGAAAGATGGTGCAGGGCCCGAAGAGTTGGACAAGAGATGATGGGTTCAATACAAATGGATGGGAGAATATGGGGAGATGGTGAGAGAAACCCGAGTGTTTGGAAGCTAATTAGGGTTACACCTCAAAACATTTTGGGGATTTGGAGATCTTTCTGGATTGTTTTGTTTTTGTATGGCAGGGTTGCAGCTCCACTGCACTTCGGGACAGCCTTCTATCTACTTTCTATTTGGTTGCTTGCTGTACAATGGGGCTGCTCCAGAATCCCAGACTTTGATGGTGGCTTTCAGAGACAAAATTTTTGCTTTGGACCTATGTCCCTAAGTAATGGCCCTCCTCAGGCAGATGCCTATGTTGTACAGAGTACAGTTGGGTCACCAAAAATCCCTCATCTTACAGAACCTTTCTCCTCTCACACACAGCGGGGTCATGGTGGGTACGTCCATCTCCCAGTATCTTCTGGAAAAGTCCCGTGTTGTGTTTCAGGTAAGAGCTGACAAGCCCTTCTTCCAATGGTCTTACTCCCTGCATATCTAGGCCACGTTTGGTTTCAGCTGATAGTGAATAATAATTGATACCAAATTTTCCTCTTGGACCTTAGATGACGATATAGGGACAAAAGTGTACCTTGCCATTGTAACTACGCTGCATTGGATCTCCAGCTGATGCAAGTCAGGGTCAGTCCATTGATTTCAGTGAAACTGTGCTGGCTTGCACCAGTTGAGAAATTGGCCCCACTACAGAAAATAGTCAGAATTTTGTCTGGAGTTAGGCCACTTGGTCAGGCTTTTTCAAAGTTTGGGGGGGGTTGTCCTTTTCCTGTCCTTTGGGGATATGGCTGGGATCAGCTGCAGGAGTCCTGTGAAGGAGGATGTATCCCCTTTGGCATTTTAAGTGTAGTTTCCAAGTGGTGCAGTTCTTATGAGACTTTGGGTCTCACTTTGCACAGCCCAATGGTTTGGAAAGAGCTCTACTTAAAGATGCTTTTCATTGGTACTTATGCCATAGGGCACAAAAACAGGATTTTAACTAATGGCATGAATTGTACTTTCTCAGGCCCGTGGCGAGAGGAGCTACCATGTATTTTATGAGTTGCTGGCAGGGCTGTCCATGGAGCAGAAAGAGCAGATGTACCTGCAGGAGGCAGAGACTTACTTCTACCTGAATCAGGTGAGTGAGGAGGTGCAGGTTCTGCAACATGTGGTAGAGTGACATGGCTGACCCTGCTGTTTCCTCTCACATCAGCTAAGGCCCCAACAGGAGATGACTAAGAAAGCAGGTGGTCTGCTTCCCTTCCCAAAATCCTCTTACAGAGGTAGCGGAGTATGATTTTAGCGCTTGGCTACCCAAGGTCCTGTCTGGAGCCCTTGAATGAGCGTCTTTGTCCTTAATACTTTAGGCCATTTCTCTTCCATCTCCCACCATTCAGGCCTCTTCTCTTGGAGAAGGGTATGTTAGTGGGACACTTGTTCTGTGAGGGGTAACCAAACAATGACCTGGTATGCTGACTCCACGGCTTCAGTGTCTAGTGAAAATAGCCAGATCTAATATGCCTTTGCTTGGGTTTATAATCTTCCATGCACAAGAAAACAACAGGTGAGATGCCTGCTTTGTCAGGGGTGGTTCTTTTCATCCTATATCCAGCTATGCAAAATACTCGATTAAGTTAAAGGTTAGTAAATTTAGAACTGCTAATAAAAAGTGCCAAGTCTGAATGGAGGAACTGGCCAGCAAAATTGCAGCAGAGTAAATTGTTCTGGAATTAAGTCACTTTCATGCTGAAATAGTCTTCATACAGGATAGCTATTGCTACATAGCAACAGTGGACTGAGGAACTTATGAATCATAGTCCTATATTTAGAATGGTATCAGCTTTCCTCCTAATAAAGATGAGACAAGTGGCCTTATGACTCTAGGAGGCTCATGTAATTAATGGCCTGGCATAATCAATAGATTTGTATTTCCGTAACACCTAGAAAGAAGCAAACATCATAGTATCTCATTTCAGGCAAGATCTATGCTCCAAAGTTCTGCAAAATCACAGTCCCTATTGGGGGCTTGGTGGTGTGGATGTTAAGGCGCATGGTTGACAGCCTCAAGGTTGCAGGTTTGAAGCTATAGCAGAAGAGCTCATGATATGGCCCTGCCAGGTTCCAAATAATCTGTAAGTTTTGCTAAATACCCTGTTGCAAGGACATGAAAAGGAAGGAAGGACAACCCATTGTCAGCATAGCCAGGGTAGCAGAACCCCTGGTGTAGATGCAGCTGTAGTGATGAAGAGTGCTTTTATCAGCATTGTGAATGCCATTCAAGGTGGCAGTGCAGCTAGGGTGATGGTGGAAAGACTTCTAACCCTTAATTAGCTGGAGATGATGATGCCCCTGCAGCATCCCAATGAGAGCTGATATTGTGAGTACAGTGCCTTGGCCTGCTAGGAATTGGGGGAAGGGGAATTCTGTGTGCAAAGGAAAATGAGTAGAGCTGGACAAAACCTCATCAGCCAAATCTTGGGATTTGGGCTTGGCAAAACCAAACCTGGGGGTAGTTTTGTTCTTGGTTTCTGTCTGTGTCTGAACCATCAAAGTTTTGGGTGGGATGGTCAGTCAGGAGTCTTCTGCCACATGTGGAGTGTTGCACACTCGTTAGGAAGTGCTCACTTTAGTGTTTCTGAAGTACCACCTTTATGATTTATAAATGTATCTGGGTATTATCAGACCTGTCCTGACCAAGGTGGAAAGGAAAGCATGGAGGGAGGAGGGATTTGCCCAGAGGTTTGCAGCAAAGCTCTGTGCCAAGGGCTTAAACCTGTAGGCCAGGCTGTGTCCTACAGTATTCACTTGCATACCACAACAATTCCCAAAAATCAGCCCTTCAAAACCAGGACACATGCTTTAAGCAGGGAAGCTGATTTTACTTTGCTGGAATAAAAACATGGAGACACTGGCACCAGAGGGCTTCCAGCTTCTCTCTGGGACAGCAAATAAGAGAGGCAGTCTAGTGTTAACCCTTTTACAGCTGCTGTCAAATTGGCAGCAGTTTGTGGCTGAGTGACCAAATGAGCAGATACTGACAGCCATCTTTCAGCCCAGCCTCTACATGCAAGAGCTAGATCTGAGCCACAACTGTGGAAAAATCTTTTCCCAACACTCTGCCTTCCATATTTTATTTGGGGGGGGGGGGGGGGGGATTTTAAAGAAAATGCAGGGGGCTTTTTGTTTTTTGGAAGCATCGGGTGTTGGGCACAGCCCC